TCTGTAATCATAAAAGAATCACAACGATTAATTAACTGTGTTTATCGATTTGCATTTTGATAACATAAGTTTTTTTACTACTACTCATGCAAACATGTAAAAAGCTTTTGATTTTGAGATGTAAAAACATATAGAGGCATGCAGGAGTCGGTTATAAATTTGCAAACGTTCATGTCACAACGTGAAATATTGTAAAATAATTGGAATTGTATGTCAAAATTCTTGGGTAATTACTTTAGAGAGCATGTTAGAACTTTTGCAAAAATATAACGGAACATGTAGGTAACTTCACTTTAAATATTAGTAACAGTTTGTTAAAACATTTAAATAACCACTACATAAAGTGCACTGTGATATCAGTAATCGTTTGTCAAAACATTTAAATAACCATTTCATAAAGTACATTAAAGCACCAGTAACAATATGTCAAAACATTTAAATAACCATTAAATAAAGTGCACTAATAACCATTAATAATTTGTAAAAACACTTAAATAATCACTCCACAAAATACATTAAATCAGTAAAAAATTAATAAAACACTTAAATAACCGCACCATAAAACACACTAATAAATTCGTATACACGTACGCAATCATTTAAGGAAACACACAAGTAAAATCATTGACACTTGTAGAACCACACCATATAATTTGTTAATACACCCACATAATTAATAAAAAATATTAAATAATGGACACTAAACACTAGTAGTAACACACTAGGTACACTAATATATCCGTATATGCATGTAGGTAACACACTGATAAGTCACTGACACTTGTAGAATTACACCATAAAATTTGTTAATACACCCCCGTAATTAATAAAAAATATTTATTAAAGCACACTAAACACTGTTATTAATACACTAGGTACACTTATATATCCGTATATGCATGCAGGTAACACATTGTTAAAGTCACTGACACTTGTAGAATTACACCGTAAAATTTATTAATACACCCACGTATTTATTAAAAAATATTTATTAAAGCACACTAAAGACTAGTAGTAGTACAGTAGGTAACACAGGGACAAGCACAATATCGCTAAAGTAAACCCTTGACTCGTACCGGTAAGTGTTGACAGGGCCCATCCGACCTCCTCGACTTCCAAAACAAAACTGAGCACATGCGACCTCTACAAGTGTAAACGCGATTGGTAGTTTACAGTAGCCAATTAGACATCAGGTAATCGACCAATAGATCAAATTCGATCTCTTCGAGTGATTGGTAGTGTGCAGTAACCAATTAGACGTCATGTAATCCACCAATAGCGTGCAACCACACTGATTGGTTGTAATATAACCATTCTAACATTAATTTTGTTATAATTTTATATTTTTCGATTGTTTATTAACAAATTTATTGTTGAAATTATTTAAATCTATTATTTTTTTTAACTTATATTTGCAGATATGTTGTAAAATGATTGTTAATTAGTATATTACGATATATTTTACTAATAATTTTTTTAGTTATTTATTTATAAAATTGTTGTTGTAACTATTCAAATTCATCGTTTTTATTAACTTACTCTAGCAGATATGTTGCAAAATGATTGTTAATTAATATATTACGATATATTTTATTGTAACTCATTATTATATAAATTAATTATTGTAATTCATTATTTTCATACCTTTCTCGAATATCTTGTAAATTATCTACAAATTATTGTATTCAAATTTATTTTTATGTAATTACTTTACATTTTTATTACATTTTTATATAATTCTTTGTAATTACACTGTACACTGTTCGTAAACTTCGTGTACGTTTTGAGCACATAATAGTTTCACATTTTTCGAAAAGTTTTATTGTTATATGTTGTTAAAAATTCAAATTTATGCGCGATTTTTTTAAAAGTGACGTCATCCAGGAAAATGGAACAAGCAGTGCCATCTCTCCGGCGAACAGAGTGAACTACACGTTTTTGAAACACTAGTTTCATTAGTTTTCCACACTGCCACTGGGCGGCACTGTATGTCGTTTCCGAGACTGTCACCTCTGGTATATTCTGTATCCTACGTACCTGTGGTCATCAGCTGTTATTCGACTTGTTTCCTACCTATAATTTTGCATTTCAAAGCATGTATACAGAAGTGTAATAAAAGGAATTTTTGGTCTTCTGTATAAACTGAAAACGATAAACACATCTGTCATAAATAGATTTTGTAATATATTTTAGGATCATAAATGTATCCTGCAAAAAGATTGTTAGGAATAGCTAGCCCGTATAGCAAACGTTTCCTGAATAAATATTTAACCTCTAAGCTATCCAAGAATGAGGAAATTGAAGTTCCAAAAGGTACATAGTGAAATTTTAATTCATAATTTTTTAAATATTTGTAAAACATTTGTTTGGTAGATATTAATTTCGTTTTAACATATTAAGAATAATAATGTATGTAATTATAAATAGCTTCAGAGAAGAATGAGAAGACTGAGCAGGGTGAGGAGAATGAGAAGAATATTGTAGTAAATTATTACGATCAAATTACTGCAATTGGTATAAATCGTCCAGACAAGAAGAACTGCTTAAATGTTGCAACTGCAGAAGAACTCTCAAAGGAGTTAGATAAATTTGAGAATGACGAAAACTCTGTAGTAGGTGTACTTTATGGTGTTGGAGGAAACTTTTGTAGTGGCTATGATCTCAAAGAAATTGCACAGTACAATGGAAAGAATGAAGAAGTTTTACCACAGTTTAGCGTATTGGTAAGCAAAATTAATTTATATTTTACTTATTATACAAAATTCCTTACACTGTTTTAATTATCATAATATAAAATATTTATAGAGTAACAGAAACAGCTTATGTAAAAAGCCATTGATAGCTGCCATAAATGGATACGCTTTAGGTGTAGGATTGGAACTTGCTTTAATGTGTGACTTAAGAGTGATAGAAGAAAGTGCTTTGTTAGGGTTTACTAATAGACGTTTTAATATTCCAATATTAAGTGGTGGTACTGTCCGGTTACCGGCCCTCATTGGTTATTCAAGAGCAATGGACCTTATCTTAACAGGTCGAATTCTCAGAGCAAAAGAAGCATTTACATGGGGTTTAGCCAATCGATACACATGCGAGGGTGCAGGTAAAATTTACTCTATCATCATAATATGCATTAAAAAATATAATTGATTATAAACTGATATTTGGTTTATAGTACTAGGTGAAGCAGTGACAGTTGCAAAATCTTTTGTCAAATTTTCTCAAAAGGTATTGCTTGCTGATCGTGCTTCTGCACATTTTGCCACATTTTCTGCCAAAGAAATAGAAGAAGCTTTACAATTTGAGAAAGACAATGCATCTCATTTAGTATTTGAAGAAGGCGTCAAAGGAGCAAAAAGGTTTGTCGACGGAAATGTGGGCAGACATGGACACTTTCAAAATATTACAAATATAGATTTAGAATTTAAAGAATTAGATAAAGATCTATTATAAAACTTGTACAGTAATATGTGTTTCCTCTCAAGAAACAAAAAATTTGTACAAAGACTTCTATGACAAATGTAATAATTGTATGCAAGATTTTATTAAATTCTTGCAATATGACTGAATTGATTTGCAATTTTAAAGAACAATAATTGTATTACTTTATTGTACTATTGTCTCTTTTTATAGAAGATTTAGATGAATTCTTTTTAACAGAAACACTAGATTTTAATAGTATATCGGTACATCTCTTTGCTGCCTTTCCAGTAAGCAGTGGCACAAAATTTGTCATTTGACCATTTATATCACCTGCATGAATAAAAAATAATACATTACATGGTATTTATATGTGACCACATGTACTTACGTTGAAATGTAACTATCAAATAAATTAAATCCGCTTGAAAGACATTGTAACCAGGTGTATAAGGTTCAAAGTATGAAACTTTTCTCAGTTGACAATTAATTTCATCACATAAATCAAATTCAGCTGTAAATACTCATTTAAACTTTTATTTGTTATTTTAAAAGTATGTGTTGCTTACTTGTATCTTCTATGTCCACAACATATCGGATATAATTCAATATTAATTGAATAGGACAGTTGATATTTATTAAAATTTCCTTTTCTGCACCATCAAACTGTGTATTCTTTTCATTAACGTCCTTACTGGCATATTTGACTCGAATGATTGATGTCATAGTAAACTGATTCACTGCATTTGACAAAGACTCTCCTGTAAAATGGAGATCAAATGTTTCACTTTTTCATCAAAGAGATGTATGAATTCAGTCAAGATTGCATTTTTTAATTTATATGCAGTGAGTTGTCATTTGTCTTTATGTGCAAAATTCAACCCATTAACTCGAGGTCCATTACATTACAGACCAGAGCCTCTCCTACGTCAACTTTCTCAGGTTTCCTAAGGTCAATAGATTCATAGATCCGCAATTTCGAACTACGGAATTTCATATTCAAGTTGAACAACGACCGTCCACAGACTTAATTGGCGAAAGTAGTGCGAACCGACCAACTACTATCGAGTTGGTTAAAGCTATGGTGACGAAACGAGTGCAGGTGGCGGTGCATTGTTGCGTAATCGTTCATATCCCTCCTCTTCCTCTTTCTTCGTGTAACCAGGAGTCAGGACGAGAGTCCCCTTGGTAACCAGAAGGCCCTCCCCACCAGGTGCCTTCCTCCCTGCTCGACCTGGTGAATGTTGTGCCCGCAAATCCGCACCTCCGACGCTGCTCTTTCTTTCCTTTGCTTCCTTCTATTTCATTCTTTTCAAGGATCTTACCCTTTTTCTTTTCTTCTACTCTTTCTGTGTTCAAGTACACTCTTGGATTAAATATCTGTGGCAAATAAAATGAATTGAACACTGCAAATTTCTTTGAAGTCTATCATTGGACTCTTTGAGAATTAAACTCTTGAAGATGAGTTTATTGCACAAACTGATGTTCAGCATATTTACTCAAAATTTAAAAATATTTAATCAATCAAAATTATTTTCAGAACTGAAGTTAATTGAGGCATAATCAAAGTTTATAGAAATACTGTAGTTAAGGATCTCCTAATATATAAAGATGGTACGTTAATACTGCTAGGAAGATTTCACTCAGGTCATTAGAGGTTGAGTTAATTGAAAAGATAACTGGCTACACGAACAGTATGCAGACTAGCAAAATGGCAAAAGTATGTAGGTCTGCAATAATGATCGAGCAATAGAGAAGCAGGATATTAAAGATAAAAGGGCGGTTCCCAGGATCTTCTTTCCGATTAGCCCCGTCGTGTACGTGGCATTTGAGAGGATGATGCCAGAGCCTTTCACGAATCACCATTCGATCCTGCAGTGTATTATTGTTGCGGGCAAACTCGCGAAAGAAAAATTTCCTTCGATGGGAGAGGCTCGGTCGATGCGTTCTTTCTAACCAAGCAAACTGTCGTATCGATACGAAGTATCCTGTATAGCATCCTCTCGTAATATTGCAGTGGATGGAGTTGTGGGAATCGGGAAAATTATTTACATTGACAATGTGTTGAAATAACGTATGGTGATAGAATGGATGGAGGTATGATTAGAGGTGTAGTAGTTCACCATATCGTAATTCAATGTGTGATAATTCCACGCGTGGTAATTCAACGCGTAGTAATTCCACGCGTGGTAATTCAACGCGTAGTAATTCCAACGCGGGTTATTCCACGCGTGGTAATTCAACGCGTAGTAATTCCATGCGTGGTGACTCCAACGCGTAGTAATTCCATGCGTGGTAATTCCAATGCGTAGTAATTCCACGCGTGGTAATTCAACGCGTAGTAATTCCACGCGTGGTAATTCCAACGCGCAGTAGTTCCACGCGTAGTAAATCCACGCGTGGTAATTCCAACGCGCAGTAGTTCCACGCGTAGTAAATCCACGCGTGGTAATTCCAACGCGCAGTAGTTCCACGCGTAGTAAATCCACTACGCGTAGTAATTCCAACGCGCAGTAATTCCACGCGTGGTAATACAACGCGTAGTAAATCCACGCGTGGTAATTCCAACGCGCAGTAGTTCCACGCGTAGTAAATCCACGCGTGGTAATTCCAACGCGCAGTAGTTCCACGCGTAGTAAATCCACGCGTGGTAATTCCAACGCGCAGTAGTTCCACGCGTAGTAAATCCACGCGTGGTAATTCCAACGCGCAGTAGTTCCACGCGTAGTAAATCCACGCGTGGTAATTCCAACGCGCAGTAGTTCCACGCGTAGTAAATCCACGCGTGGTAATTCCAACGCGCAGTAGTTCCACGCGTAGTAAATCCACGCGTGGTAATTCCAACGCGCAACGTGTAGTAAATCCACGCGTGGTAATTCCAACGCGCAGTAGTTCCACGCGTGGCACTTAAACGCGTGATGATTCAGTACACCATAACTCACCACAAGATAAATCCAAGCGCAGTAATTCCGCGCATAGTAGCCTCACACATAAGTACTCCATCGCGTAGTAACTCCACGCGTAGTAATTCCCCGCGCAATAATTCCACGCCTAATAATTCAACGCAAGATGACGAGGCAGTAATTCAGCCTATCATACAACACATGATAATTCAGCTTGTCACAGTCCCACACACGGTAATTCAATGCGTCGCTATAAAACGCAGCGGTGTTCGATAATCGAACGCGCAACGATCGACCGCGTGTTAGTAACCGCGACTTCCCGTATCAAAATTCCGCCCGTCCAAACGAACATAATTTTGCGGCTTATTCTCTACACGGAGTTTCAACTTTCTTCCCATTACCCGGTACTTCATGTTGCGAGTTTAGTAACTTATCTTCAGTTTCTCGAAACATCCACGTAAATCACCCTATAATAATATGATTTTACACCGTCATTACCGGTATCCGATACTCCGGGACTGTATTTAGAAACAATTTGCTCGATTACACCAGCGCTGTGTATTCCGCCGCGATATCCCGGCGTCGAACATCGAAAAATACCATTTAAATAAACGAGAAAAATGTGTGGAATCTCATTGGACTGGACGTTGGTGTCGGAGCCCTGTTCGCGGTTCAATAAAACGACGAATCTTAAACAGCATGTCCGAAAGCACTTTCCTCATCGTCCACGCGAACGACACCGGGAAAACGAAGTTCCCGGACAATTTTCATGCAAACCATAGAAAGGCGGTCCTGTGGCAGTAACTGCAGGTCCTTTTGTACGGTGTACCGGGTCCATTCGCTAGGCCACCGATCGTATCTGCATACCACTTAACCATTACGTTTTACGAGCTGGATGGACATAAAGTGTTCGCTCCTCTCTCGTTCGAGCAACAGGTTACACGGTTGTCTCGGAAAGAGAGAAGAACGTTGGTCGACGAGGGAACGGCGGTCCCGGTGTATCCGTGAAATTTACCATCGGCTGTTGTCCGCGTACGATCCTGCCAGAGCCGTCTCTATGACACCATAAACCGGCGTGCACGCAAAGTTACGTGGTGTTTTCGTTTCATGCTCGATAACAGAATTCCGAAAGTGGCTTTTGTCTAGTTCGTCGTAGAAGAACGAGTACGGTTATTGCGCCGATGGTAAGAATAGTGCTTTCCGTGATGCGAACAGCTGGTAGTTTAGTAAGTGAATTGTTCTTTGGATTAAGTTTAAGATAGAACTGGTTGGGTTTGACTATCATGAGTCGACAAGCACTGTTGAGATATAAGTGAAGATGATCTACACGATGTAAGTGAAATTGGTTCTATCGTTGGAGGAATAGAGAAATATTACGTGGTACGAAGTTTAGGATTTTTGTGAGGCAGTATATTTATTTTAGAGGTTCGGTAGAGTTTAGAGTTTTAGGGACATCGGTAGGGAGATTTTAGGGACATTTAGATCCTGAGGGATTTTAGACAGAACTTAGAGAAATTTACATTCTAAGGACGGGGTCTAGGATCCACGCGTGGAATTACTGCGCGTTGGAGTTGCCACGCGTGGAATTACTACGCGTTGAAATTACCACGCGTTGGTATTACCACGCGAGAAATTACTGTGCGTTGGAATTACCACGCGTGGAATTACTACGCGTTGGAGTCACCACGCGTGGAATTACCACGTGTGGAATTACTACGCGTGAGAATTACCACGCGTGAAATTACTATGCGTTGAATTACCACGCGTGGAATTACTACGCGTGAGAATTACCACGCGTGGAATTACTACGCGTTGTAATTACCACGCGTGGAATTACTACGCGTTGGAGTCACCACGCATGGA